TTGAGAATTGAACACTTAGGTGATTTAGAAAACCTTAAATGAGATGCTTATGTTAAACTAATATCGTTACGGTACAACTACAAAGTAAAATCTCTTTCTTGGAGGCTAAGCATGATTAGTTTACTCACCCAAAAAAAAACCATGATTATGAATTTTATAATAAATATTATTTTTTTAAAAAAAAAAATTGATCAATAAGTCTCATATTTTAGACTTATAATGCGTATAGTCTCATATTTTTTCTTGTGATCCATTTAGTCTTTTTGAATGTATAATGACTCATTTACCCACATTGGAGTATCACATTTAAAAAAAGTATACTAAAAAATTTTTAGTGTTCTATCATAACCGTCACGTTGGAGTGTCACATTTGAAAAAGTACACTAAAATTTTTTTAATTTTTTTAAATTGTCATATCATACCCGCCGCCACGTTAAAATGTCACATGTCACGTTTAGAAAAAATACACTAAGGAGTTTTTAATTTTTTTAGAGTGTCACATCATATTTGTCACGTTGTCACTTTTAGAAAAAGTATACTAAGAAATTTTTTTTTTTTTAGTGTTACATTATAACCGCCACGTTGTCGCGTTTGAGAAAAGTATACTAAAGAGTTTTTATTATTTTTTTTGGAGTGTCACGTTGTTCTATTTGAAAAAAGTACACTAAGAAGTATTTAGCTTTTTTAGAATAAAAGTTTTGAATTATCATATTATACTCCTCACGTTGTCACATTTGGAAAAAATATACTAATGAGTTTTTAATTTTTTTAGAGTATCACATTAATACTTGTCAAATGGGAGTATCACATCATACATGTCACATTAATAAAAGGGCATAGTTGCCCACCAAAACACTACCAAAATAAAAATAGAACCACACAGAAAGAAACTCTCTACTAATAACACTTAACAAATCAATAAAAAAATTTGAGACTAATTAAAATACTTATTTATAAAATGAGATTTATTGATAAATATCCCTTTTTTTCAACTTGGATCATTTGCCCCCATTTTCGGTTTGAAATTTCTATGGTACTACCACATCATCTAAATTTAATTTGAAGAATAAGTTTTAAATATTTCTTTACTAAAAAAATTGCATAAAATTTAAATTGTGACGATGTGCTAGACTAGAGTTAGAATAGAAAATAGGAACAAAAAATCTCATACCCATTTTTTTTTATAAAGTAGAGTGTGTTGTGTAAATTCAAACACAATCCGAATGAATCTGTTACATATATATATATATTCAAATATTTTTTTAAATACATAAAATTATTGATTAACGATTGAGGATATACCTGAAGTTGGGACTCAAGGTAAGTAAGGATAGTGGCCGGAATGATTCCTCGAATGCCACCTCCGTCAATGCTAAGAATGGTTATCAAGTTTCCATAAGTTGGGGGTTGGATTTGACGAGGAGATGCTACTACTTTCTCCATTTGAAAGGGTTTCCTAAAACAGAAAATGTTTTTGTAGTGTCTGTTTAGGAATAAAAGGAGGCTCTTTTTGAAGTTTCAGATGTTTGATTTTGCAGCTAGCTAGGTTGTTTATTTATAGACCTCGTTCTTGGTCAGAAGAAACTTCCTCATACCGACCTGTTTTCGGCTACGCAGTACTGTAGTTTGCTATTAGTGACGAACATGAACACTAAGAAAATTGCTAAATTTTAAAAATAATAATACGTGTACGTATTATACAAATAAAAAAATTATACACAATAACATATAGAATAATGTGTCTCATTATGAAAAGTTTATTTAAAAACACAAAACCTGCTATTATAAATATAATTTGCCAATTTGTCATTTCCATATAATTTGAAAATAAATTTTGTATAAAAATTTTGGTGGAACGAGATTTTTCTAATAATATTATATATATGCAAGTAGTGTTGTGATTGGCACGGATCTCTCGTTAATAAGATTAGTTTGCCTCATGTATTACGTGCATATTATGATCAGTTCTAGGTACATGATTTGATTAATGACCAAATACTAATTTAATAATTTCTTGTTTATCATGTTGCAATTTACAAAACTAATAAAGCCGAACTTAGTTGGTCACTATGACTCTCTTGAAGATTTAGTTTCAAAAGGGAGATCATGAGTTCAACTTTGCAATTTATAGTTTACTAATTGAATCTTTGTACGCAATTGGATAACTCCAGCGTATTATGTGATATTGTTTACGTAGCACTTTTGAAAAACCAATTAGGTGCTGTACGGGGAGGAAATCTTTAGGAGTAATGAATCCTAGGAGGACTCTGCATGAGAAATAAAAGTCCTACTAGGATTATCCACTCGAAACCTATAAAAGCTCAACAAGCATCACCTTGGAGGAGGTAATTGAACACAATTCTTTCTGAGAACATAAATACTTTGTCTATTTGTCAACTTACTGACTTAGGCATCGGAGAGGTTTTCGGCACTCACCCGCCGGCTAGCTCACGTTTGTGTTTTCAGGTGATAAAGCGACGTCCGTACGGAAGATAGCGTGGACTTGGTCAACAGGAGTATACGAGGAGAATT